ATTCGGCCAATCACAACGCACTGGATAGCTGGCAAATCACAGCACACCTCGCTTTTTTAGACCGATGAGCTTTGTAAAAATCGACGCGTTTCAGAAAGGCGGGGCATAGAGGAGAAACAATAATGTACAGTATGTGGAAAATAATGTGTTTTTTTTACCTTAAACCGCATAAACACATTTCATTACACCAAATACACAAAATAATGTTCTTTTTAGCAGCATCATATGACCCCTTTAACATTTATTTATTTCAAGTAACGAAATGTTTATGGTTTTCGTTAACTATAATAACCCTGGTTTTAACTGCTTCTTTTCATTATTGAATTATATTACTTGCAGATATTTTTTTATTTAAATCTTGCTATTCATTTTTTAAATGGGAATAGGTCTTTAAGGTGGTGCAAGCAGAATCATAACACTAAAAGCTTGCTGTCACATATAGTATAACCCATAGTCCTTTAGTCACCTGACACTTCTGCTTGAAGTCTCCTGGAGCCTCGGAGTCCCGGGAGGAAGTGATGCGGCTCGCCTTCTCCAGCGACTGGTAGAACCCAGTGATATGTTTCTCCATTTCCTCTAATGGTGGCAGCATGGCCTGGGAGTCCCTCAGCAGAGGCAGAGCTCTTTCTCTTATCTGAATGAGACATTGAGGTCATAATGTGAGATGGTGTGATTGCGGTCTAATGTGGCAGTTCATGAGGGAAAATACAGGCCTGGCACCTTGCTGAACTCATCCTTGATGGTTGCCATGGTAGCCAGCATCCGAGCGATCTCTTCCTCGGTGAGGTCTTTGGTCAGCTGCTGTGCGTTACGTGTGGCCGTCTTGTACGCCGCCTCCATGGATGGCACTTTGTGCTTGATGTCCTACAAGAAATTAGTCGACATTTGCATAATCTCTATAAACTCTCATATTACGTACACTACTGTTTAAAAGTTTCTGGCCAGTACGTTTGGAAGCATTAAATTGTTTAAAAATGACAGTAAGATATTTATAATGTTACAAAAGATTTCCAAATAAATGCTGCTCTTTTGAACTTTCAACTCATCAAAGAATCCTGAAAACAAATATTAAGCAGCATAACTGTTTTCAACATTGATAATAATAAAAAATGTTTCTTGAGCAGCAAATCAGCAAATTAGAATGATTTCTGAAAGATCATGTGACACTGAAGACTGGACTAATATATGTTACATATACTACGAAATGGAACAGCTATTTTAAATGAAATAATATTTCGCAATTTTATTGCTTTTATTGTATTTTTGATCAAATAAATGCAGCCTTGGTGAGGCATAAGAGGCATTTTTCTGTAACGACTCCAAACTTTTGAACAGTAGTCCGATTGATAAGTCAGTCAGCACACAGTCAGCTGCTCAAAATGACAAATTCAAGAGGTTTTATCACTCGAAAGTGGTATACGCTGCGATTGACCAATCAGAATCAAGTATTCCAGAGAACCAGCTTCGTGAACTTTGATTACCTCAACGTCTTGTAGATATGTCCGTATGTTCAGAAATGAAACTTGAACTGGAGTGTTCATCCTCTCGTTGGCCGAGTCAATAAATGCTTTTAAGGCTTCAATCCCATCGTCATAATCTTTTCTCAGTTTGTCCACTTCATCTGCTCTTGCATACTAAGAAAAAAAATCATCAGAATTATGTTTACACCAATATAAATATTGACATTATTTCATAAAAGGGACTGTCAAAGAGAAAAATAGTCATGAAAAACTAAATTATGAATGTGTTGGGTGAAAGAAACCTTGACTTGAGAGATAAAAACAAAATGCTTGACGTCTTACATGTTTGACTTTGACAAACAGCTCTCTCCATCTGCCGTTGAGAAGGAGCAACTGTTGTTTCAGTTCTCGAGACACGGTCTCATCGCACGTCTCAATCAGGAAGTTTCCAGCATCATTCATGTCCATGTGCTGCTGAATCCAGTGTGGAAGATTCCGGAAAAACTCCTGCAGAAGAATTCACACTCTTTATACACAACAGTTTTCATTCGGCAGCATTTCATCTGAAAGCCACAAACTTTTTCAACGCACCCGTTTGTCGCTCTCTGACTGGTTGAGCATCTTCTCGGCGTCCTCCAGCCAAGCCTGCAGGCTGGCCACTGTGCTGCTGTATTTCTCCCAGTTGCAGATCACTTCCTCCAGCATGCTGCGGACGCTGCGCACCTCCACTGACAGGTTCTTCCACTGCGCTGTCGCATCGCTCAGAAACTTATTCACGCCTTCTACCTCCTCAGCTGAAGGCAAATCACATTATGATTACCACTGGAAACAAATGCATTTCTCAATCCCACAAACCAATCCCTAGAGTCAGGACAGTGCCCACTGTTGTGGATTAGAGTGTCAGCTACTGATGATACACGGGGGCAACTTTTTGAGCAATGTTGCTTGGGTACTTTCACATTGAGGATGGATAACAAATGTCTTCATCTGGTTGCCCGTTGGCGGCAACATTGCTCAAAAAGTTGCCCCGTGTATCATCAGTCTAAGTGAACTGACAGGAGGGGTTAGTAGAAGTGAAATCACTGTATTGTGATGTTACACACTTCAATCAAGATCAACCACCTGATCTAAACAGTCACTATGTTAGAGAGTACTCTGGTTCCTCTAAACTCACCTCTCTTGGGGATTTTACTGCCTAGAATATGAAATAGTTAAAGGGGTCATATGATGCTGCTAAAAAGAACATTATTTGGTGTATTTGGTGTAATGAAATGTGTTTATGCGGTTTAAAGTTAAAAAAACACATTATTTTCCACATACTGTACATTATTGTTTCTCCTCTATGCCCCGCCTTTTTGAAACGCGTATTACTACACTCAATATGATACCTTTGTAGTCAGGTAAATATATTCCTAAAACCTAACCATTACACGTCCAGGTCATGTTTCTTGCCATTTTCAAAAGAATCAAAATAAGAAATTATATTTTGCTTTAATATAGGCTATATTTATTTTTGTTTATTGTTTTTTTAATGAATTTCAACATAATTTTTTGTCACATTATTTTTATTATATTAAAACACATTTACCCCTACTTATTTAATAAAAAAATATTAAAACACAGTAACATTGTGAAATATTATCAGAATTTAAAATAAATGTTTTCTATGTGAATATATTTTCAAATGTAATTCATTTCTGTAAATGTAAATTTTCAGCATCATTACTCTTCAGAGTCTTTCTCAGTCTTCAGTCACATGATTCTTCAGAAATCATTCTAATTTGCTGATATATATATATATATATATATATATATATA